TCTCTCTCCCTCTCTCTCTCTGTCTCTCTCTCTCTCTCTCTCTCTCTCTCTCTCTCTCTCTCTCTCTCTCTCTTTCTCTCTCTCTCTCTCTCTCTCTCTCTCTCTCTCTCTCTCTCTCTCTCTCTCTCTCTCTCTCTCTCTCTCTCTGTCTCTCTCTCTCTCTCTCTCTCTCTCTCTCTCTCTCTCTCTCTCTCTCTCTCTCTCTCTCTCTCTCTCTCTCTCTCTCTCTCTCTCTCTCTCTCTCTCTCTCTCTCTCTCTCTCTCTCTCTCTCTATTTCCCCCCCCTCTCTCTCTCTCTCTATTTCCCCCCTCTATCACTCTCTCTCTCTGATAGTGGCAGCTGAGGAGCCAATCCGAAGGAGAATTAGATCAGTTGGTTGGATGGAGGCGTAGCATCCCGGCGGTGGCTGAAGTGGAACTCGAGTTAGTTTGGAAACAGAGGGTCCCTCTGGGTTCTCTACCAGGACTGAGACTATCTCTGGCAGGCAGGGCCTAGCTCCACATTGTGTGTTCTCTGTTAATCTCTCAACAAAAGCTATGACACAAGTTCAACAGACTATACAGCCGACGACCCGTCACGTGACCCCGGCAAAACTGCTATGTCAAGACTTTTTGCGTTTTCCCCCCCTTTCCAAATGTCCACTTGTGAATACCCACGCAGCCCTTGTGTAGATGTAAATGAGGACACAAACCATGGTTCTCTTGTGTTTCCACGGGCTATTTTTGTGCGCTTTTGGTGAACAAAGCAATCTTAGAAGACAACAGGTAGGACTCAACAATGGGTTGCTGTCACTGATTGTTTTTTGATATTCACCTCTTTGTAATTATTGAGCTGTTGTAGTCATCACCACAGTGTTTCAGTGCATTTATAACACCACAGCCAAGTGTTAATATGGGCCACTGAGCAGTGCAGCCCGTCCTACTGCCGTTTGTCTCTACAAACATGTTGTCATTTCCATTTGTTGATAGCGTACTTCAGCAGCCCTGTGTTTGTTATGCGACACAGCCATGACTGTTATCTTGGTTACAGTCTGTCTACAGTAGCACATAATGATTAAGTTAGACTGACTGAAAGCACTTTAAGGGGACTGTTTTTTTGGGGGGGATTTTCGTTTCTCCATAGCATATACTTTGTGTACATTCATAACTAGAGATATTTACAAAGCTGAAGCTGAACGCATACCTCTTCAAGGTGAAATGATGACCATATGGCTCATGATTGTCGGAAGGATCATTGACAAACAACATCACCTGCATCACCCAGATATATAATAAATGTTTAAGTGTGTGGGTTATATGTGTTTGTAACAGTAAAATGTCTGATTACTGCTGTAATTATTTGTGTTGTTGTTTTGGTGTTTCGTCTTGTGTCCGACTGTGTAATTATAATAATGACTCTAATTGTGAAACTGAACACAATGATCTCCTCCTGTAAACTTGAGCAGTGAACAAAAAAGGTAAACGGCTGAAGGGATTACACAGAAAAACGGGAAATAGTTAAGTAAATGTCAAGTACACTCAGAGCGTACACCTTTCATGTCGAATGTTCCATTTGGATGATGGAGAGCACTGTCCACTTGGTTCGTAGTTTATGTTTCGTGTGTCAACGTCAAACTTGTAGCCAGTGTGTACTTGTCTCATGCCAATCACTGACTGCCAATAAAAGGACCAATCCCAACTGAAAAGTGATGTCTGGATTTGTTTTGTTTCGAAGATTTCCAGAATAAGTGTGTTGAACTGTTGCAACGTCTGGGTCATGAGCAGAACATGCCGCTGCTGACAGAAACAAACAGAGGATTTATTTATAGTCTGCAAATACGGCAATAAAAGAAATCAGCTCGGGCCGTGCTGTTTGGGATTGGTTGCTGGAAGTGCTGTACTTGTTTCTGATCCAGCGGATCATCTGTGCCGCCGCGTGCCGTCAGGGAAACGCCTAAGCTGCCGACGTTTGCCAGGGAAAGGCAGGGTGGTCATCGCATGAGGCCCTACCCATGATTCTCTCCAGGCAACCTTTCGTTTCTGCTGTCAATCATGTTGATGTGGCATTTGCAACAGGTGGCTCCTATAAGGTCAGGGCACAGTGTGACTGTCATACCCCCTGAGGTCCAAATACCATGTGCTAGGGCAACAGAGCCGAACCCCCAAAAACACCAGGATCTTATTATCTAACCTTTTCCCTTCAGTGTTGTTTTATTTCCCTGGATTTTGAATACAATTTAAAATAAACAAAAAAACTGTTTATTTGACTTTATTGTTTTAATTGAAAACATTTCCCATGCAGGCCTTTAAGCAGCTACTTGAAGTTCAGAATTTTTCTGCGCAAACTTATTCTCAGGAAACTCCTCTCCTGTTTGTATGACTCACTATTTGATCTGATTATCTTGCTCCAGCTGGTGCATGCTCTGGCACAAAAATGAAAAGTAATTTATGAAAAACGGCACAGAGAAGTCACACAGACTGTTCAGAATACAATATAGCACAGAAGGATGGATTCACAGATATCCATGGCAGTGATCTCAGGTTCAAGAGATTGAGCAGCCAGCTGAGGGTAACTTTGGTGCATCCAAAGAAAGCACTTAACACCATGATTTGTAGTTGGTATAGATTGCCACCAGCATTTATTGATACGAAAGATGGGTACAAACAAAGACGTAAGTTTACAGTCACAGTTGTTTCTTTGTGCACATTAAAATCCATTATGTCACTGTTACAGTCAATTCTGTTAAGAGGCCAAGTGTTCAACTGCTTGTAAGTGTTCAGCTGAAGAGGCCAGTTATTCAGTGATTTATTCAATGATACAACATCATCGGTTGCAGCTTTTGTGGTTTTGTGGCTTCAGAAGGTCTCTGTAACCTTAAGGCACTCCTGCAAAACCAATGTCACTAGCTCTTGGTCTCAGTAACCTGCTGCTTCGCCCAGTTTCCTGACATCAGACACGGCACAGATGCAGCCATCTTTCCTCTCCACAGCATTGACCACATTGTAGAAATGGCTGAGATTTATTTTTATGTGCCCCAGAGCCTCCAGAGCTTTGCTTACATTCTGAAGGGCAAGGAGATAAGGAGACTCAGATGGAATAAATATCAAGTGTTTATTTTGGCAAATAAATGTATTTAATGTATTACCTCATCAAAGTTCTGCTCAAACCCTAATAAATTTTGAGGGTTGACATAAAGAACCGGAGCAGCGATCGCCTCCTCGAGGCTCTTTCCAAACCAAAGGTGGTTCATGAGCACCTGGAAGAGAAAACAGAATAATACATGCAATCTGTCAAATGGGAAAGTGATGAGTACAGAATGGATTATGGTGAAGACAAAACTTGCTCTGACACCAGTGAGGGGCATTAGATGGCAGCAATTTATCTTAATGGCACTTAGTGTTATTGCCCTGGACACGCACCGAGGCCATCGCTGTCGTGATCATGTTCCCACCAGTCGATCCAATCACCAGCGTCTTTGACTTAGACTTCAGCACAGTGGGGGCCATACTGGATGGAGGCTGCTGCCCTGACAACACAACAAAAGCCTTGATTGACAGAGCAGACGGCTTTAACTCATACTCTTCAATGGGAGAAGAAAAAGAAGGAAGTTACCATGAATGCAATCAATGTCTTTGAATGATGTGAATCACAGTTGGCATAATGGCATATATTTAACCTTTGTTCAGCAGCTGACGTCAGACAGAAGCAGAACTCTTCTGATAAACATAGGATCTGATAAATGCTAACCTCAGTATGCTAACATACTCACAATGAGAAATGCTAACTGATGTTAAGCAGGTTAATGTTTACCATTCATTACCAGAGTTTAGCATTTTAGCATGCTAACATTTGCTTATTTTCACTAAACATGAATTGCAGCTGAGGCTGATGGGAATGTCATTTGTTTTGCAGGTATTGGACAAACTAAAATTCTGACATGATGACAGCACTAGACAAACACGTTATCAAAGAAACACCAAAGTTAGCCTCTTTTAAGTCATCCTCAGATGAATATAAATGACTGTACAACATGTCATAGCAATCCATTCAATAGTTAGACTCATTTCAGACTCACACACAAAAAGAAAAGTCAACTTCATGGCGGCACTGGAGGAAAAGTCGTGAGATCACGAAAGTCATTAGGGCTCTGGGACAAAGTGCAGGACTGACAGACCAACAGAATGCCATTCTTACCAGAGCCATTAGCACAGCTAAAAAGAGATCGGTAAGCTTAAATATGTCCAAAAACCTTTGCTTGATATCCACACACAAAACCATAAACCATCAGGTCTGATGTCTCAGATACTGTAAGTCAGGTTACTTGTTTTTGAAAAGAACAAACCCGTCCCTGAATTTCTTGTATTTCACCATCGGTTAAAGTAAAACAGAAAATGTGTCATGCTGATCTGGTTACCAGGAAAGATGTTCTCTTCTCTCCCACAGAAGTCAGACAGCTGGTTGTTGAGGATGATGCCAGTCCTCGGAGACATGACCTTGGAGCCAAATCTGTGAAGAAAATACTTTAAATTAATTGGATCTTGACATTATGGCATGCACTTATGAAACACATGCCCTTCTAAAAACTGTGTTTTCCCCAATACTGTGCTTATGGACTGTGATGCCTGGAGTCTTTTGAAAAGAGAGGTTCATTTTTAAATTCTCTTTGCAAAAACACTCATTCCTTAATCTCCTGAATCTTAATCTTCTACTTTTAAGTCAACAGTGACTTCTCACTGTGAAGCAGAACCCCTTCAAATACTGACATGTGGTTGATGGTGCTAGTGACAGACACAGCAGATCCATCCTCAGCCAGCACAGACACATGCGTGGTGCCCATGCTCTCCAAATGCGGGGTGATGTTGTAATAGCGGGGACCATGAGTCTTGTCGCTGCTGATCAAGCTCCGTATGT